TATGAAAAATTTCGCCGGGAAGACGGCTCGGGTGTGGACCAGATAGATCCCCCTTTCCATATATGTACACTCCTTATCCCTGAGATGGAGTAGGCGTGGCATATGAGCATCGCACTGAATGGGTAATTCATGGAACATTTCAAATCGAGACAACTGTCATCTTAATCTATGCGGGACAGAAACATGACCACAACTGGGTCAAAATGAAAATATCTCTCCAAAAGCACAGCCACCGCCACGTTCAGTTGAAGTACGCAGCCACGCCTACCGCATCTCAGGGATTTCAAGTGTATGTCTAAGGGGTACAGTGCCGTTGAAATCTTGAGCATTTTGCCTCTAGGAATTCTTTCTTCGAACATTTCAATTTTCACTTCTTCGATAACTGCTTCTCATTTAGATGCTCGAGGACCTGCTCAGCAACCCATCTCAGATCAAAGATATGGTCCCTTTCATTGTTGGATTACAAGAGGGTGACAGTCGTGAGAACATCAGTTGGGATTACGGCGATTTATTTCATTGGGCCGCTTTCGAAGAGAAGCCCCTGGTTTTGGAGTGAATTTCATACTTATATAAATTTTTTACTTTGTACGTTCCTAGTAATGTAATGAGTTAAGGCGTGATCTTTATAAATGGAACGATGTTGTACTTGGAAACTGTTTCACATTCAATCATAGACTCGGTTCGATGGATTACATGATGCGTTCATCCGGTATTCAAGGAGGTTTGTTCTTTTATGGATTTGTGTTCATATTTTGAAATGTAAAGTGAGTAGAGCTAAGTAAGTAGCAAGAAGGAGTAGTAACTGATGTCTCAGGTGTGTGAGATAGTGGATGGGGCCACGCGATAACGCTACAAAGTGACTCCACCCTCCACGGTTCCAGGTTTACTAGTGAAGCGTTAACTTCCGAACACGCCATCGCAGTGCGGGCTGACTTGGGATATAAAATCGAGGTGCGACGCCGATTCCACGCTGATGGGATGGCAGAGGCGCTGCGCGTCAATGGAAGCGGTCGTTTGGCTCGATCGCATTATAAGTGACGTGTAATGCGAGTAATGGCACGTTCCCGCAAAGTTGGACAACTCGTCTGAATCGCTTAATGGGCGGTTTTCGTAGATGACGGACTATGTCGTGTGTGTTGTATCTGCGGTGTTCCTACTACTCATCCATGGCATCTCCCATTGATCAGTCGGAGAAAAGCTGTGGTTTAAAATTTTGGACGAGTTGCCCTCCTTGGGAATCTGTTCTACTGTCATGTTTTGACAATTTTCCAGAGCGTAGTTCGCACCGAGCAACATACACCCCACGTCAACTCTATTTTCACAAGTCAGTTCGTACTGGAAAGTAACGCTGCACAGCCCTAGTGGGGTGCAAACGGACAGAGTTCGCTCAGCCACATCTCGTAGTGAAGCAAATTTCGTCGAGCCGCGCGCTGGTCCAGTTAATTACCATAGCCACGAGAACTACTTATACCGTTGTTATTACCACAAATTACATCCAAAGTACTACTCGTGAGTGGAACCAAAAGACTCAGCTTCCCAAAAGATGTGTCGGTAGTAATGTTCATCTTTAATATCGTTATTAATTATTTAAAGGACTACAAGTGTTTATGAGTGTTGGATCAAATGAATATGCGCCATGGTACGATACAGCGTCAATTTTGGTGTTTATTCATAACAAGTATGAGTACGTGTTCTCCGAGTCAGTACGGTACAACGCACAACCCAATGGAGAAACACTGATTCAAGTCCGAGATGTGAGAAGATTACTTATTACATTACTTATGAAACAGTCACTAGAGTAATTGGGCAGTCTGAGCAGGACTACCTTCGGTTCGTCTGCGCCGCCTTAACACCTTGACGACGGTGTCAGACAATGGTGGGCGACAGCCAGTCTGTCTCATGGGACGATGTCAGACAATGCTGTCTGACAGTATATTGCTCTAATAATAAAGATGTGCAAACAACCAAGTTCGTTCAAATCGTGTCCCTAGGGCTAGCTTGACGCTCTGAAACGAACATCACAGTTGCTTGGCATGCACTACCTAGCGCCGGCGCCAAAACATCACAAATTATCAAACTAGCTGAAAACTTGTCTCGTAGGATAGTTTGATACCCCCTCAACATGAATATCGCATTCTCTTGCCGAGAAACTGCCTGGCGCCCGCGCCATAGGCGCCGGTGCCAAAATACTATAGGGCACCAAATTCGCTGAAAACTTGTCTCCCGAGGTAGTCCAACCCTCGAATATGAGTATCACACCTGCTCAATGCGAAACTGGCTAGCATTGGTGTTACAGGCGCGGCATGACATGCATGCATTGACCCGCCGCATGTAGCGCGAAACTATCTGGCGCCAGCGCTTGGGCGCGGGAATGCGGGATTCACATTTGGGAGGTTCAACTATTCAGAGGCGGACTGTATGGTCTCTCAGATCTTTTTCAGAGATAAATTTCGGTAAGAAATGGCCTAATTTTGGAGGACTGGGGAATTTCAGAGTTAAAGGTAAAGTGTGTCAAAGATTCAAGATTCATATTCTCGCTCAGGACTTTCTCAAAGACAGCTCCCGCGATAAAAGTGTCAAGGATAATTGCTGATCAGTTATGAAACAGTAGCTGATAAGTAATTCCTCAATGAAGGAAAAAAGCAACAAGAGCCCTCAAGAACACCACAAACAAAATTGCTCCCTTACAGTTACACCGCCCTGCGGTCCGTGGGCAACCCCTGGCTCACAAATCGCTTTATGGCATTTCCCAGTAGTGGACAACATCCAATTCAAAGAAGAAACACTTGAAAAAAGAAAAATTCAAAAACTTGGCGTCCGAATTTGGGGTTACGTGCAGTGTGCAGCTTTTAGTGCATGTCGAGCTTTTGCACCACAAAAATTGCATCACTCGTGATTTTTACGCGTTTTACCTTGCGAGATGGGTTGCAGTTGACTGTATGTGCTCCCAATGAATAAAATGTAATAAAAGAG